GAAGCCTACAACTTCAGGGAAGTCAGTGGAAGACAGGAGATGGGTCAAATAGACTAAAAAAAATTGTAACAACAGCTGTGCAGGGGGCCCAAACAAATGTTTTGTCAGGGGGCCCACGATTTCTGGCAGTTCCCCTGAGTGATTGACACGATCAAAGGCCTTAGGGGTGTCAATAAACCTAATTAACACAGATGAATTTTTTCTTAGATATGCTCTTGCTGTCTCTTTCAGGCCATAGATACAGAAATCAGTTCCCAACTTGGCTTTAAAACCAAATTGATTATCTGTTGTACTAATTAACTGATTGAGCCGACCAAGCAAGATTTTTTCTAAAAATTTAAATATCACACTAGCTAAAGCTATTGGTCTGTAGTTATTAAGGCTACCAACCTTGCTAGTTTTGTCCTTACCGGCACAAGGGTGACAGATAATGAGGAATCAGGTAACTGTCCATGGGTCATAAACCCAGAGAAACACATTGCTAGCAACACAGCCACCTTTTGGCTAGCATATTTCAGATGTTCTGCTGTAATGCTATCAGAACCTGTTGCCTTATTCTCACACAAGTACACTATAGCCTGTTGGACTTCACTAGGGGTTATTATAGCCACATCACTCTTACCAATTTTTCCCAATCCACAGGGTTCACTTTTTACACAATTAAATAAGCAGAGTAGTGCTGTCTCCACAGCCCTGCTATATTATGAGCCCCAGATATGCCCTCTGTAGTGCTGGGGAGTGATGCAGCAGACCTGTTTAAAGCTATGACATCATTCCAAAAGCCAATGGCATTACTACAAAGCAGTTTTTCAGCCATGGAGTCTGCTCTCATGTTCTGCTCAGATTTGGAAATGTATTTAATGGCATATTTAAACTTTGCACTGGTGAGTTTTTTATAATCTATCGTGCAGTATTACTACATAATAAATCTGATTTATTGTGTCATGCTGACTCAGTTTGAGCAGTACTCACCAGAAGAACTGATCCTGTTTCTTCTGGTCCCTGTTTTGTTTGTTGGCTCAGTTCCCTACGCAGCCAGTGAGTAAACAGAGAAACAGGCAGGCACTCAGACTGGTTTTGAGAGTTTCCTGCCTTCAGTTGACATGTTGCAGAACAGGTTTGTGGTCATCCCAACCCGCAGTATCGAGCCAGCTCAGTGTCAGGCTTCATAGCTTCTCACATTTTGCTGAAAGTCTGAAGTGTTTAATGGATTCTTTTATCATTTAAGGGTTTGAAGAATGGGTCACTCTGACGGTTGGAGGTGCAGTCCTGTTGGACAGGTGAGTGCTCCTTTCATTTGTGCCATACTCTGCTGATCTCAGATCTTATGAGTTCACCCTAAAGACTTGTCCTTGTTTTCTTGTTTCTCTTCTAGGCGTTTTCCTTGATGGCAGTATTGCATTGGATCGTGTTGCTGTCCCTGCTGCAGACAGGCCAATGTTATGTTCGTAACCAACAAGCACCAGGTAAAGAATTCTTCCTCTGACAGCAAACAAACACCATAGACTATAAAAGGAAAACTTTTTGAGTGAAGAATCAGAACTATAATACTTCTCATGTCTGTGTGAGATTATGATCTTACTATGCAAAGTGGGATGACTGTTGAAACTGAGTGAAAATTAGCTGATGACATCAGATAGAACCTGTCTGCTCTGTGCATTCCCTTGTGAAAAATAAATATACTAAGAATATTAAATTTTGAGAATACTTGTAGCCAATCATCACTTCCTTAATCTTTACACTTCAAGTTTAAGGATTATTTAACTTCAAGTATGTTATTTTGGAACAACTAATTTCGTAAATTTGTGTATTTTAATTGTAATTAAATTATAGAAAAACACAATTTAAAGTGTACTAAGTGTACCATCACATGCTTTTTGGATCTTTTAGTTGCATACCTTTAGTATGCAACTATTCAGAAGGATGAACTGCAACACACTTTCAGTTGAAAAAAAAAACAACAACAAAACTTTGTACATTCAATATATTGACATTTTTCAAGAGTACATTGCCAATATACTATCAAAGAATTGTACAAATTGTCAATATATTAAAAGTTTACAGACAACATGCTTGTGAAAATTAGCACCATAATAAAATAAGTACAGTTTAGAGAAATGTGAAAAATATTTCACCAAGGAGAGTATTGTTTTAATACAATGTCACAATA